TGGCGAGAGTCTTTGGATATTTACCTTCTTTCATTTCCCAGATTCTGGACTTTATCTATTGACCGGTTTTTATTTTTACTTTGATCTATTTTGAATTGCGTGACACTGAAAACCAGCAATAGCTGAATCAGTCCCTTTTAGTACTTGCAAGTGTTCTCCGAAACGTTCTTAAAAAGTTTCAGTTTAAAAATAATGTTACTCAAATGTTCGATAGCGAAGTAACTTCCTCATTTTCTTCTTATACTTTCTTTAAAGGTACACGTTCCTCGTTGGAAAACACGCCTTCTCTCTTGAGGCTTTCAGAGCGTCATCGGTTGGTAGAAAACTCACTCATTTTATGCTGTCAGGTATGGAAATGCTCCGTATTGTACCTCAGGGATCCACTGATGTCCACAATGTGTTACTAACAGCAGCAGATGCACTTACACAAGCGGGAAGGAAAGATATTTTTACGCCAGTGTTCAGGCTGGTCCTCAGGAAGCCTCTGTGAGACAGTTAATTTGAATTCCACTCGACGATTTGCGCGTAATAAAAATATATAATGCAGCTATTTAGAGTGCTATAATAGGTTGTTTTGTGGGTGGTTTTTATGGTCACCTCATCTAGTAAACTTAAATTTGTTCCCATATGTGCTTTTGTTTTCTACTTCTCGTGCCAATAGCTTAAAACGCTTTCTCCATATATAATCGTGATGGATACCTTGTACTACTCATGATCCTCGACAAATCTGTTGGGAAGGTTGAATCAATTCTCGTTATTTGTGCTTTTCCCCCTCATTCCTCTTCAATTTTGTGTCAATGTTGGATCGTTCAGACAATTCTCGTGCTTTTGTAGCCGCCAAACATCTAACATTGCCCAATATTGGACTTGGAGGAGGGAGAAGGAGAAAACTTCCAAGTTAAGGACAACATACACTTTAGGTCTAACGGTCTTCAAACCTTCCCAAGTAAAATTGTCGAAGATTGGTCATTGAATATATTCGCCTTTTTCTTTGGACTATGTTCAGTTTCGTGGCTTATTAACAAAACTCCCCTCGCCATTTTTAGTTTGAAACAAGGAAACAAGACTTCCAAGCTTGATTAAAAATATAAAACAAACAGCGGTGATAAACATTTTAAAAACATGCANAAAAATCCGAAAGTTCAAGAAGCAGTCATAGATAAAGGAATCGAAGTTGTTGGAAAGTTGGTCGATAAGCAATTCGAAAACATTGAACGCGCACAGAACAAGGCTGCTGAATTCTTGAAAAAAGAGGTATGTGTTTGATGCCACCATATTGTCTCTTGAGTTCATTCAACAATTAAGAAAATAAGGCTTGTTTGACAGAGAAGGCGTGCATGGCCGATAGAGGTGTTAAGGACGCTGCATTTGAAAATTAGAAGTCCCTGGTTCAAATCTCCACCCTACCACTATTGTAATCTATACTACTTTAGTCTTAATCATACATTCTAAAGCGCTTTAGAATATTTTGTAATTTTTGCGCTATATAAATCTAATCTTACAGCTTACTTATTTTATTAGTTATTTTATTTTTTTACTCATGCTTTAAAGTCATTGTAAAGCGCTATTGGATAGCGATAGAAATAGCGCTATATAAATAAAGTATTATTATTATTATTATTATTATTATTATTATTATTATTATTATTATAATCTTATCTTATCTCATCAGGATTTGTTCTTGTTAGTCCCGAGTTCAACTCCTCGACCGCGTTGTGTAAATAGGCAACTGGTCAGCCTCCCACCAGTTGGGATTCTTAATAGTTTATGTTCTATTTACATTATTTATTTATTTATTTATTTATTTACAGTATCCCCAATTAGCACAACAGTGCTTAATACATTTGACAATTAAATCTATTTATTTTATGTTATTTAGTTTTACCCCCTCCGTCCAATACGCTAAATAAAATGAAACAAAATTAGCTGCCTGAATTTATGCTAAGGCGTGGTCTTGAACGATTTCAGGTGAAGCTGGATATAACTCCCGATAAAGCCTGGATAAATGACAACATGTTTGTTCCTTCAGCTTATCATCTGGATGCTTCTGTTGAAGGCGGTTCAAAATCTCCAGACGAGAGAGGTGATACTCCATTTATTTACCCGGCGGGGATGGGTCAGGTCCTTATGAACGGATGCTGGGGTAACGACTACAAGATGGGCGATCCATGTTATAATGCAAAACGAAACTCCACAATTTGTTGGGTAAGTCCTGAAGTCATAGCAACCATGCAGATATTTCGTTTTTTAAAGACTTCGATGTAATCATTTCCGAGCGATTCTGTAATGACTGCCGTAATTTCAAAAATCAAGGTTAATGACTGAGCGGGTTGCCTTCAATTCAGAATGAGGCAAAATCGCAGACAAAAATCAAATTCTAATTTAAGACATCTTTAGTACCAGTTCATATTAACGTCGAAATTGCGAACGCGCGCCCGTTGATTAATTTGCATTGCAGTGCAAATTAAGAATTAATTAACGATAAATTGGCCTGCTCTCAGCCAATCACAATGAAGTAATTTTCTCAGTCATATAATGAGCGTAGTTAAACCCTCTACTTGAAGAGTCGAGCTCGAATTACTTAAACCAAACCCCCAAAAATTCTTTTGGTGGAGAAAAAAACAGAAGGAGAATATAGAAACGAACAAAAAATATATTATCTATTAAATCACATTCTTTTCCCACTTTTTCTTTTTATTTCATTCACTTTTTTTCTAACTTTCTATTTTTCTATAATAGTAATAAAAGTAATGATAATAATAAATCATTTGCAGCTATTGATAGACTGGCCCGCCTAGACTAGCATAGCTATCCACAGGCCAGTCCAACTGTAAAATGTAGATTTTATTAAGAAATAAAATGATGAATGAAAATGATGAAAGAATGAGAAGAAAAAGAAGAATTTCTTTAAATTTGCTATTCTGCCGGGATATTATTAGTTCAGAACAGGGCTAGTTTACTTTCTGATTGGTTTGGTTTCTACCAGATGAGTTCTCGGAACCGGTTAATAGATGGATTTAGCCAAGCCTAAAAGCGGAGCTCCTGGGCCGGGTTCTTCAGAGCTCGATTAAGCTACCCCAGGATTAGCGAGAATTTTGATTTGATTAAAAATATAAAACAAACAGCGGTGATAAACATTTTAAAAACATGCATTTTATGAACTTGACGTTTCGTATGCTAGTCAACATACATTTTCAAAAGTATCACCGTTAAAATGTTTGGAAAGCTATTTATACTGTATCAATGGGGGTCTGGAACCTAGACAAAAACATCTGCAATAGAAATTTAAGACGTTTCAAACAGAAACTGTCTGTAAAGTGAAAAATGGAAAAGCTTTTCCATGTATGTTGACTGGGATACGAAACGTCAAGTTCATAAAATGCATCATTTCAAAATATTTATCACCGCTGTTTGTTTCATATTTTAATCAAGCTACGATGGCCGAAGACCAAGAGTTTATATGATACTGATTTTGATTTGAGTTTTGTAACTTTGCGGTGAGGTTTTCTGTATATTGTTTGGCCTTCTGTTTTGAGTTTGAATAATCTCAAACTACGCAAAACAAAAGCAGTGAAAAACATTTGAATGCAAGAAAAATTTATATTTTTAATCCTGGGTTAGCTTAAACCGGCTTCCAAACAACTATTCACAAGTTAAACTGACATGAGCTCTTCGATCCAACCAAAAATTAGCAATTGGTCAGCGGTCAACTTTAAAAAGCACGTGACCTGATGAGCTCTAATCTTGAGCCCGTGGTATGATCAAGTGATACTGGTCAGCGGATTACTTGTTTCGAAAGGTTTCAGTTGACCACAATATGGATGTCCAATGTCAAAGAAGTACGCTATAAACCAAGGCTGCATGTGGCTGTCAACCTATTAGCTAGAGTATGGCCGCCATCATGCGCGACTCCACCGCCGCCGCCGTCGTGCGTACGCGGCCACGATCAATACCGCTAGCCCTGATAACCATGAGAAAGTCAACGCATAGGTTTCATTTACTTTCCTATATGAGTATGGTGCTCCGCTTGGCGGCCCTTCGGTCCGCCAGAGCTCCGCTACGAAACTCAGCAAACTCAAGAGAGGCGAAAAGGAAAACTTCAAATAATTCGTGAGACCTGCAATATTGCGTGGAATAATGTTACAAACATTATTTTTGTCAATTCAGTAATACAAAGCAGCTCAAAATTCTCAATACCATTAGTTTGGACTTGTGGTACCCCGTCGTATCCAACGTTACCTTAATTTTATCTTTTTGTATGAAACCTGTCCTCTTTCTAGGATATGATTGACGGTGCTGCATTCATTGGTGTCGGGTTTGACGGAAGTGGAACGTACAGTCCCGAGTCTCGAAAGATGAGCATAGTACAGAGGAACTGCGCCAATAAGGCAACGTAAGAATTCTCAGTCATTCCAACTTTCGATAGTCTTCTTGTCAATAGAAAAAGTAAATGATTCTGAATGGCAGCTGCTGTAAGCTGCAAGAAGTCGAATATTTGAAGTAAACACGAGAAATCAGCTTGAATCTCTTTCCCTTTAAATACACAAATGAAACAAAATCTCCTTTAAATTTAACATAATCCCGAACATCAATATATCCCCTTCAGTAGAGTTTAGGAGAAACCTAATCAAATCATTTGACAAAAACGAAATTGCATTTAATTTGAATATCTCGAACAAAACCACTGAAAGAACTTGGTATTAAATAAGTTGCTGAACGATGTCCAAAGGTTTATTTTTAAAGCTTTTTCTCTATGTTCTATGTTTGCTTCAGTTACGATAACTTAGATGTTCCCGACACAATGAACGTACATGGAATTTATGACACAGCTGCTTTTATGATGACCTTTGAAAGCAGGACGCAATATCAGCAATATCTTCAACGTGAGGCTGGTGTATCTGGGTCCGTGTTTGGCTTCAGTGCAGGAGTAAAAAAAGCCTGGGGTGGCTCGATGCAGGCCAGCACTCAGCAATACATGGCCGTCTTAGACGTTGATATTGATAGGTGAGTTAAAACAGTAGTTTTAATGTATTTTTGTAGTGTCTCTTATGTCGAACAGGGTTAAATACCTTCAAGGCATCTATAATTCCCTGACGTTACTGAAAATAAATTGAAAAAGGTTAATGCCAGGACTTATTGATAATAACGATAACGATCACGACAATGACAACGATCACAACAACGATAACAACGATCACGACAACGATAACGATCGCGACAACGATAACGATCACAACAACGATAACAATCACGACAACGATAACGATCACGACAACGATAACGATCACAATAACGATAACGATAACGATCACAACAACGACAACGATAACGATAACGATCATAACAACGATAACGCTCACGACAACGATAACGATCACGACAATGATAACGATCATGACAACGATAACGATCACAACAACGACAACGATCACAACAACGATAACGATCACGGGAACGAGAACGATCACGACAACGATAACGATCACGACAACGATAACGATCACAACAACGATAACGATCACGACAACGATAACGATCACAACAACGATAACGATCACGACAACGATCATAACAACGATAACGATCACGACAACGATCACAACAACGATAACGATCACGGGAACGAGAACGATCACGACAACGATAACGATCACGANGGGCTTCCTTCATGTGTTTGTAATTGACATTAAATTGAAATGATTATTAAAGCGGCTATATGGCCAGCCACCTAGCCAAAGTTTATCCAAAATTGAAGAGTCTGTTGATTCCTTGTCAAACACCCTTCTCAGCAAACAGAGCAAGCCCAAACAATAGTTTTTATTTTTATGCGATATAATTTGATGAGGGGCAGGATAAATAATGTTTGTTCCGTTTTTATTTAAGGTATGAGATATTCATGGACGAAGTAAAGCCAAGTGACCTGAGCTTGAATTTCTTGAGGGAATATATGGACCTTCCATTTTCTTATTTCCACCCTGGTGCTCAAATCAAATATCGTACGTAAAATAAGACATTATTGTTATTGTTATTATTATTATTGTTATTATTAGTAGTATTATTATTGGTTATTATTATTATTATTATTTTATTTTACTCCACGATCATACATTTTTCACTTTTTTTTAGTTAAAAAGGCAGGACAAAAAAAACACAGCATCGATGGTTAACACTTCTTGGATGGCGATCATTTCACTAATGTTTCTCGTTTTGTTTTTCCAATACGGTAAATTAAACAAATGGTTAGTGTCACCATGTACTGTTTTGAGGGGCCTGGGACTAGCTACAAGTTCGTTTGTCGGAATTCTCATTCAACTAAGGAAAACAGTTGCATAATAACCAATTTTTTAATTTTATGTGAGTAAAAATTTTATGAAGAGCAGACAATGTTTGCACTTGTTTTGGTAATTCCTAGTTTCTGATACTGGGACAACATGTTCTGTAGGCTGGACACAATTCTTCATCTCAGTCCGTTTATTGTTTGGTTCACAATACTAGAGCAACTCTTTGATAATAATCAACCCACTCAACCCAACAGAAAACTTCATCCAACGTTGGGGCACACACTATATCAAATCAGCTAAATTCGGTGGACAACTGGAGATTATAAAGACCATGGTAGCGTCTCAGGTTGCATCAAAATCTGAGTTCGCAGAAACAATGGAAGCGGAATACAGAGGTTTGTTTGCAAGCGCCGGTGCAAAGTCAAGCACTAAAGGAGGCTCGTCAAGCAAAGCAGAAAGCAAGTTTACCTCGACATCTGTCATGGCACAAGGTGGGAGCCAAGAAATTGCTACCATTCTTGCTGATGTGTACTCTCCAACGTTCAAAGGAGATTTCAAGGAATGGTTGCAGAGCATTCCAGCTTACCCAAAGGCCTTCCGTTTCTTGNCGATATAATTTGATGAGGGGCAGGATAAATAATGTTTGTTCCGTTTTTATTTAAGGTATGAGATATTCATGGACGAAGTAAAGCCAAGTGACCTGAGCTTGAATTTCTTGAGGGAATATATGGACCTTCCATTTTCTTATTTCCACCCTGGTGCTCAAATCAAATATCGTACGTAAGACAAGACATTGTTATTATTATGGTTATTATTATTATTATTATTATTATTATTAGTCATCATTATTATTATTTTATTTTATTTGTGTTAATCCACGATCCAGTTATTGCCTGCAAGACTTTAAATGACTACGCGATCCATCATACATTTTTCACTTTTTTTTAGTTAAAAAGGTAGAAAAAAAACACACAGCATCGATGGTTATCTGATCGTGGATGGCGATCATTTCAATTATGTTTCTCGTTTTGTTTTTCCAATACGATAAACATCGGCATGATTAAATTTAACAAATGGTTAGTGTTACCATGTACTGTTTGTCGGAATTCTCATCCAACTAAGGAAAACACTTGCATAATAACCAATTTTTTAATTTTATGTGAGTAAAAAGTTTATAAAGAGCAGTCAGTGTTTGCACTTGTTTTGGCAATTTCTAGTTACTGATACAGAGAAGACATGCTCTGTAGGCTGGACACAATTCTTCATCTCAGTCCGTTTATTTTTTGGTTCACAATACTAGAGCAACTCTTTGATAATAATCAATCCACTCAACCCAACAGAAAACTTCATCCAACGTTGGGGCACACACTATATCAAATCAGCTAAATTTGGTGGACAACTGGAGATTATAAAGACCATGGTAGCGTCTCAGGTTGCATCAAAATCTGAGTTCGCAGAAACAATGGAAGCGGAATACAGAGGTTTGTTTGCAAGCGCCGGTGCAAAGTCAAGCACTAAAGGAGGCTCGTCAAGCAAAGCAGAAAGCAAGTTTACCTCGACATCTGTCATGGCACAAGGTGGGAGCCAAGAAATTGCTACCATTCTTGCTGATGTGTACTCTCCAACGTTCAAAGGAGATTTCAAGGAATGGTTGCAGAGCATTCCAGCTTACCCAAAGGCCTTCCGTTTCTTGTTGGGAACCATAACAGATCTGGTTAACTTTCGTGCAAACGATCTGTTTCCTGGAGAGGCGGTTGATTGGGGATGCGAAGGACACACCAAGGATATTGTGGAGGATACAACAGGGGAGACCGTTAGCCGGTATTACACGGTAGTAGATTCGGATGGAAACCCAAAGAAGTTCTATTGCCCATTTCAGGACCGACAAGCGTTGGACGTTGTTCTCAGGAAAAGACGCGCTAGTCTGAAGAGGGCTATCGAAATCTACATGGACGAGGTGAGTTAGAACCGATCTAGACTCTACAACAGGAGGCAGCGTGGCCGAGTGATTGGGGCGCAGGACTTAAAATCCTGGGGTGACGGGTCATGAGTCCTGCTCTGGCCACGTAGTTAGAGTTGGTTCTTTATATGCCCTGGTTCAACTCCTCGGTCATGCTTGTAAATAACCAACTCGTCTGCCTCCAGCCAGTTGGGAGTTTTAAGCGTATTATGTTTAGAATATGTATTTGTTTATTTTATATAGTATACGTGGCATGCCTTTGAACTACAGTAGCTAAGTTTAGTTAAGCATTTTGACCACTACAAGCACTGAACAACATTTGAACATTTTTTTGCATACGCAATATGCTTCATAAAACTCCAACATCAAATCTGCAACTTGCTCACGACTATGTTGTAAGACACAAAAACTGATTTAAAACCGAACGAAAAGTGTAGCCTCAAGCGTCGTCTAGGGCAATGCTCAGTGATAAAAGTTGCATGTAACGAAGTTGTAACCAGTGTATGAATGGAGATAACATTTACTTTCGTCTAGGGTCCAATATCCATCTCAGATATGCAGATTCCGGAGTGTACATCCCGAGACCGTGCTTCTGAGGTTAACGATGATTTTCTTGCCAATACTGCCTTTCCAGCCTGGAAAGAAGTTACGCAGGCAAACACCACCATTCGAGTTACATTTGACATGGAAAACGACCTGGCTCGTGGGATGGATGGCGCGGTGAAAATCCAGAAAAACATGACCCGAGAAGTTCGCTTCAAACGTGGTCGATGGTTCACCGCTGATGAGAACGGCAAGTTCCACATGTACAGTGGATATCGTAATGGCAAGACTGCGCAACTCAAGAAGCAAAAGCTNTAGATTCGGATGGAAACCCAAAGAAGTTCTATTGCCCATTTCAGGACCGACAAGCGTTGGACGTTGTTCTCAGGAAAAGACGCGCTAGTCTGAAGAGGGCTATAGAAATCTACATGGACGAGGTGAGTTAGAAGCGATCTAGACTGTTCAACAGGAGGCAGCGTGGCCGAGTGATTAGGGCGCAGGACTTAAAATCCTGGGGTGGCGGGTCATGAGTCCTGCTCTGACCACTTGGTTGGAGTTGGTTCTTTATATACCCTGGTTCAACTCCTCGGTCATGCTTGTAAATAACCAACTCGTCTGCCCCCAGCCAGTTGGGATTTTAAAGCGTATTATGTTTAGTTTATGTATTTGTTTATTTTATATAGTGTAAGTGGCATGCCTTTGAACTACATTACCTAAGTTTAGGTAAGCATTTTGACCACTACAAGCAACAACATTTGAACATTTTTTGCCATACGCAATATGCTTCATAAATCTCCAACATCAAATCTGCAACTTGCTCACGACTATGTTGTAAGACACAAAAAATGATCTAAAACTGTACGAAAATTGTAGCCTCAAGCGTCGTCTAGGACAATGCTCAATGATAAAAGTTGCATGTAACGAAGTTGTAACCAGTGTCTGAATGGAGATAACATTTATTTTCGTCTAGGGTCCAATATCCATCTCAGATATGCAGATTCCGGAGTGTACATCTCAAGACCGTGCTTCTGAGGTTAGCGATGATTTTCTTGCCATTACTGCCTTTCCAGCCTGGAAAGAAGTTACGCAGGCAAACACCACCATTCGAGTTACATTTGACATGGAAAACGACCTGGCTCGTGGGATGGATGGCGCGGTGAAAATCCAGAAAAACATGACCCGAGAAGTTCGCTTCAAACGTGGTCGATGGTTCACCGCTGATGAGAACGGCAAGTTCCACATGTACAGTGGATATCGTAATGGCAAGACTGCGCAACTCAAGAAGCAAAAGCTATCGATATTTGGACTTGTTTTAAGCTATAACTCGAAAGATGGAAGCTTGGAGCTTAGTGACGAGGATTTCAATGAATCCAAAAAGATTTACCCCACGTTGAGAGAGGAAATGATTGGATTTCCATTGGCACGCGTCAGTCGTATGCATTCAGATTCAATCACGCCGCTGAAACGCAATCCTCCGGCTGCTCCCAAACCATGCAACGTAAAATGGTCCAATGCCTTGCGACTTGACCCAACAACAACAGGTGGTCGTTGCTTACATTTCACTGCTTCATCCGCTGGTGATATGTTCGTTATTTTCGCAACCGTGCCCAGTAAACGCTCTACATGGTACTATGTGCAGATGGGAGTCAACAAGGTTGCAATTTACAAGGTTGATAAAACTTCAATTTATCTAATTCAGTCCAGCCAGAGAGTAAGAAGAGGAAATATTTGCAGTAATTAAAGGAATATTGTAAAACGCTTTCATTCAACGTTCTGATGTATGTATGTACTGTTATTCTTGTAGTTTTACGTTGTCACTTACATTCCGATGAATATCCTTTGCTGTACCTCTACCACAGGGAGAAACGGAGGTTACAACAACATCAGACACTGGAGCATTAGCAATAGGAGATACCTTGCTGTATCAGTCGTACTTTGTCTGCTTATACGAGAAACCCGACAGTACCCTGATTGAATATGGAAAGACCCTAGGCACTTCAGACGGCGGAGATATATACCTCATGCACCTTGACACCGACAATCCCTTGAATGTGCGCTTTTACGCTTTTGGCAACTTGAATGAAGCTGTTAAAATATGGGACGCGCATATTGTACCGCGTGACACAACGGATGCAGACTGCAAAGGCGATACGTACAAAGATCTCCCAACAAATTTATGTGTTCAGAAGTGCCATCAATATTGTGATCCTTTTGCAGGTTAGTACGAAACGTTGAAGTTTCAAAATTTAAGATTATTGATTAATCTTTACGCTGCAGTATTTAAGGACATTCTTAACCCCATTTATCCTTGTATATTAAATAAGTGCCTGTGCTGATTCCCCCCATCTTCTAATGTAAAAAGTATTGATTAAGCTATAGTAGTCCAACTTTGCGAACTTTCCTAAAAATTCCATTGTCTTGAAGATCTTAGTGTGTTACTTATTTGATCACTTGATTTGATGTTTCTATGGCGACCATGTATTGACAAAATGCATTATGCAAATTCACGTCTTTGTGCTATGTTGGATTTCAGTTCTAAAGATTCTTGTACTAATTTTCTCTGGAAAAAAAAA